GCTCAAGTGGTAGAGTGCTAGCCTTGAGCAAAAAATGCTCAAGAACAGTGCCCAGGCCCTGAGATCAAGCTCCAGAGCTGGCAGGGGAAAAAAAAAAAAAGGATTAGGGAATGGTTCTCAGAAAGATATGAGGATGTTTGGTCAGGGTTAGACATGTGTTATGGGCTTGTCCAGGAATTAAAGTATACCATGAATCTGCAATTGGCCATCCTTCATTACAGCCTTTCCTTCAGGTGTTCCCTTTCCCTTTTCTACAATTTTAGTCCAAGTTTAGTAGTATTAAGATGGTGTACCACAAGATTGCCTAGAACTATCTGAAAGAATAGCTTACAATATAGTAAAAGAAATGAAAGGAAGCAAAGAAGGAAGGAGAAAAGTAGGCAAAAAGAGGGAAGGAGGAAAGTAAAGGGAGGGTTCTCATAATGTTGTTTATATCCATATGTAATAAGGAAGCTTCTAAACAGATCACTGTGCCTTATAAGGAGTTGGCATAATTTTTGTCAGTGGGGAGGAGAGAAAAGAGATGAGACTGTTTAGGTAGATGATTCAATGTGTCATAATGAGCAGTGGCAGTTGGATATATGATAGGGTGCCAGAGTCTGAGTTGAAGAAAATTCACTTGTAATAAAGTAGGGTGTATGAGGTATATGAATCTTGTTGCTAAGAGGCAGCGGGAGGGGGGAGGGGAGAAGAAGAAGGCCAGTCCCAACACAGTGGAGAAGAGGACTTTACATAGAACAATGAATTCTGTTATATACTATGTAATTGTTAATGTTACTGTGACATATGTACTCCATCATAAGCATGCACACCCCACCCCATCCACACATACATCCTCTATACTTACAAACATCAAGATAAATCCTGTACAAACTCCAAGCATTCCATTGATAAATTATAACAGAAGTTAAGGGACAAGGATCAAGTTCCACATCTTTGGGACATTATGGGGAGCAAAAGCCACATGTGTCAATAAAGTAGTCTGCATAGCATCCAAGATGCATGGGAAAATTATGCTTTCTCTCCTAATCATAGAAAGGAGAGATGCACATTTTCTG